GAACTACAATAACTGACAAGCATATTAAACCAGAAGTATAATAACTGACAGGTATATTGAACCGCACTCTCAGAATGCTTTAAGGACGATGCCATCCATTATGAGATATTGGAGAATTGATGTCAAACTGACTTAAAGAATAGGAAAAAAATGTATTGTTTAAATTAACATTCCACAACAAAACGGATATAAATTTGAGGAAGAAAAGACCACATTGTTATCAAATGTTGTATCGTCGTTTTCCTGTTATGGAACTTTTTCCGGAACGGGATCATTCCGATATAAACATGCATCGTATTAATATCTAATAATTGAAAAGATGATAGTTTCCAAGAATACTTACTGATTTAACAATTCATACATTTAAAAGGTCAATTAAAAAAATAATTTAAATTAAAAAACAAGCAAATAATCAGATTTAAAAATTCACCTTTTACAAAAAAATCACCAATTAAGATGGAAGTAAAAAAATACTGAATGAAAGATGAAATTGAAAACTTGAAATTAACAAAATGGATCAAATCAAGCAACTATCAGAAAAATAAAAAGAAAGAAATCAAATATTTTTATCACACTTGCCGAAAATTGGTTTAAAATAAACAAAAATTCAAAAAAAAGGGAAAAAAGGCCGTATTACATAAAGAAATCATTACGATTTGCATGGATGGCTTTAGATGACACGTTGACCCCGTATGTCAATAATGCGCCATTGAAGAAAATATGTAAAATTTCAGTTTTAAAGGAAAAAGATTAATTTTTGTGTGAAAATTAAAAAAATACATAAGACTGGATTGTGCGAATGAAATTTTATACATTTAAAATATTGCAGTGATTACATTGTTTATTTTTTTTAAGAAGAAGAATATTATTTCTGCATTAAATTTTAGCTTCTATTAATAATAAAATTTGTAAACTTCTATTAATAATAAATTCTCTTAATAATAAAGCTTCTATTAATAATAAAATTTCAAATTCAAAAATAAAATTTATAAACGAATGAAAGAATTACAAAAATTTTATAATAAATTTGTATTTGTATTAACAAAGACTTCTTATTTAATATCACGCAAAAAAAAGAGACAATATCGATGCACGGTCTTCTACCATTCTTATTTTGCCGGTTTAAGAAGAAATTTTTGCTTTATCAGAATACAAGAAATCATATCATTATCATCTGCTTCATTTGGAATGTTATCCTGCAAGCATGCATTAATGTGTGGATTACATTAAATTATTTTTTTTTTCTCAGATTCAGACTCATTTTTGCAAAGTATCGCAAACACTTTGAATCATTTAGCAAGATATAACCTTTAACCTTTACACGTTTTCCAGCAAGGACCACAGGGTGCATAGATGGTTTAATTTTCATAACGGTCCTATAAATAGCTGTTGCTAATGGTCTGAATCAGTGCTGTACTTGCGTATTACCTCATTTTTGTCTTAATTCTTGTAATTTTGATTTGTATGAGTGATATATTTACGTCATAATCGCATTTTCACCTATTCCCACCCACACGTACTATTTATTTCTGTATTTTTACAATTTAATATAAATTTTAACTTTTTTTTTTGTTTTTCGATTTAATACGTGTTTAATGTAAAAAACGACGTCAAATTTTGAAAATGTCAAATTTTAAAAATTCTGAGTAGGGAAAAAGATTAATTAATCGATGAAAAAAAAGTTCAAATTAAATAACGGAAGGCAGACAGCACTTGATCAGTTTTGGAAATCACTCGATTCTTATCATGAATCCGATGATGAATCACGTGAAATTTCCGACGATAAGGTTTGTTGCTTTATATGTTTATGGAAAGATTAGCAAGGACGTAAACAAATGTTGTAATAATATGAAGATAGGTTATATGTCTGCGAACTATATTAGAGCTAAACATTGCGGGTAATTCATAGCAGTTTATGATTTTTAATAATGTAAAAATGATCTGCACCTTACAGTGTCGTTGATGTATTTCTGAATTATGAATCTTTTTCCTGGAGGTGCTGGATAAATCTTCCCAATCAAAAAGAAGAAGAAAAAAAACGATTCTCCTGGGGTAAGGGTAGAAACCAGAAATATTTTACAAAAAATTCAAATCATCTAGTAATTTCTGATACTGATTCAAATGGTTTAGATCATTGTAAAATGATTAAATTGACCGATAAACAAGTTGCTCCTCTACCCAAGCAGTTCTATCGGAAAATTTATCAGGTTCATTAAATTCGATGGCACATGGTATTATTTAGTTGAAAGATTTTCTTCAAAACTTTATGGAATTTAAGGAGTAATCAAATATGTGACGTCGAATTCATTTCATTTTTGCAGACATTGAGCATCAATTCGTCGTTAGATGGAACAAATTGTAAAGCAGAATTGATGAATTCTTTTGAAGCATGTCCACCGTCACCTCACAGATCACTAGAAATTCGAAAGCATTCTTCCGTCAATACATCAGAAAAAATGGATGAGTAAGCATATCGTAATATACCGGAAGTACTATGGCTAACAAAAAACCTGAATTTATAGTGTTAATTATGGCATTGTCCTAGATTAGATGAGATCAGAATAAGAATGCTTGCAGCAATGTCTTTCAGTTTTCAAAACATTTCTTTTATTCTGCCCTAAGCATTTTGGAAAACGCTGAAAATTATTATTAACAGAGTAATCTTTTTTCCATTTCTTCAGATGATTAAATATTCGTCAGTGATCTGATAAATTCTTTATTCTCAGCTCTTATTTTCAGGCATTTCGCAACCACTGACATGATTTGCGACCAAAACGAAAGTAAAGCGGTAAATTGGCTTTCGGTTTTCTTTCATAATAGTCGAAAATTATGCAAATCTTTTTCTTGTTTGTGATTTTTTTATCCATATTTCTCGTTGATGGATCATTTATTTATCTTTTCTATAATTTGTTTGAGATTTTTAGAAATACTGATTTTTTCAGGATAACAGAGTCGAGAAAACAACTTTTGTTGAATCCGGTAACTTGCTGGATGATGTGCCACTAGTTGCTAAATCACCACCAGGCGATACAGAAGCCTCGTTGCCTATAACTGGAAATACACCAGATAGTTCATCAAAATATGATTTGGATGCTTGCACTTCATCAAGCTTGGTGAATTCGCTTGCTTTTTTTTCGACATTTTTGGAGCATTTCATGAACAATTTTCATCAGAATTTCATTTTATCTCTGAATCGTTTTTTAGCGATTTTCCCATTCGTTTAGTTCAAATTCTGTAGTTTGATAATTGGAATAATTGCAGGAAAATGGAAATCCGTTAAAAATGGGATCATGCAAAACACATAGTTATTTGAAAGACGAACGGCTCCAGTGTGTGAGAAGTTCGAGAAAGAAACGGGTACACAAAAGATCTCACAAAGCTGTATGTTTTATAAGTTTCATATATGAAATTGTAAATGATATATTCAAAACGAAGAACCGTTCCTTTAATTTTGGAAACTAGCAAAATGTGTAGAGGTATTTTGTTAATTTCAAGTCATCTCTTTTTGTCTATCTATCAATTATACTGTTCATAGGTAGATTTTGTGATAGTTTGGAAAAGGCGAGGTTATTGAGGAAATGAAATTTTTAATCCAGAATGATTCCACATTTATTGATTGATTGTTTTTATTTTTAGAATTTATGTCACGATTTATTAGTTCTTCCACGGATACACACGATAACAATTGGTGATTTTGAATTAGAACCACCGTATACCTCACCTTTACCACTGGAGCTTGTTAGGAAGGGACACCTTTACGTTTGTGAAAAGTGCTTGGATTTCAAGGAAAGCAAAGAGACATTGGAAAGACATGCAGTTAGTTATTTGTATTTCGCTATTTTGCTATATTTTGCTATTATTTGTATTTTTGCGATTTTATTTGAATTGTTTAAACTAATTAACAACTTAAACTTTTCCTTGCTTCCTTATTGTCGTGCTAACACTTAGCCCAATGCACTGATACTATATTGGGTATTCTTAACTCACGTTTTTCAAAACAGTTTTCGTTCTTCCAATAATACATTTTATTAAAAATTGCAGAGTAAATGCTGGATGAATTTTCCACCGGGTGATGAAATCTTTCGCCAAGACGATATTTCGTTATTTGAAGTAAATTTTCTGAGTCCATCTAAAAAAAAGAATACTTATCGTATTTGGAAATGATTACCAGATTATGGCTGGACAGAACCGAATTCTAGCTAAAATCTGATTAAGGACAAAACTGAACGAATAGATTTGTGATGGCTGTAATTATGATCCTTTTTTTGAATTTTACATCCATATGACTTTTGATTTCAGGTTGATGGAAATATTGCCAAAGGCTACAGTCAAAATTTATGCCTCTTAGCCAAGCTTTTCATCGATCATAAGACATTATTTTATGATGTTGAACCATTTCTCTTTTATGTTCTAACTGTATGGAATTCAACCGGTTGCCATTTGGCAGGTTATTTTAGCAAGGTAAGAAACACTGCTGAAGGTTGACTGGATTTTTTTGGCTTATTATTTCAATTTCAAAGTCATTATATACCAAATGCTTGTAAAAGTTCTGTTAAATAACAAGGTAAAGTTTTGTTTTTCAAACATAATGTTTAGTATTTTTC